CATTCAGCATCTGTCCACCCTTAGTCCTGCCCACTGCTTTTGGGATTGACAGAACTGCCTCTGTTGCTGAAAACCCTCCAGCTATGAGCAGCAGTTTCTGGGAGAGGAGTGTGTGAGATCAAAATGAAGGAGTAGTTAGCTCAGTCAGGGAAGGTAAAGCAAGGTTTAAAGTGTTACTAAACCCCGGACCCTGCATTCACTATATCCGGTCTTCCTAGAGCCTGCATTCACTATATCTGGTCTCCCCAGACACTGCATTCATTATATCTGGTCTCCCCAGACCCTGCATTCACTATATCTGGTCTCCCCGGACCCTGCATTCACTATATCCGGTCTTCCTAGACCCTGCATTCACTATATCTGGTCTCCCCGAACCCTGCATTCACTATATCTGGTCTCCCTGGACCCTGCATTCTTTATATCTGGTCTCCACAGACACTGCATTCATTATATCTGGTCTCCCCAGACCCTGCATTCACTATATCTGGTCTCCCCGGACCCTGCATTCACTATATCCGGTCTTCCTAGACCCTGCATTCACTATATCTGGTCTCCCCAGACCCTGCATTCATTATATCTGGTCTTCCAGGACCCTGCATTCACTATATCCGGTCTTCCTGGACCCTGCATTCACTATATCTGGTCTCCCCGGACCCTGCATTCACTATATCTGGTCTCCCCGGACTCTGCATTCACTATATCTGGTTTCCCCAGATCCTGCATTCACTATATCCGGTCTCCCAGGGCCCTGCATTCACTATATCCGGTCTCCCTGGACCCTGCATTCACTATATCTGGTCTCCCCGGACCCTGCATTCACTATATCTGGTCTCCCACAGTACACAAAACATGGAAATGCAATTATTATAGTAAAAATAAACTGCTAAATACCTTTTATCAACAGCAGTTAGAGCAGTCTTGTGACTTCTATCAGTGTCCAGCCCAGCACTGGTTAAACCTTGTAGGAGGAGTTTTCATTCTCCCCTGATTGTCCTATGAGGCTGCAGGACCCCTGACCCTCTGTCTGGACAGTGCTGATTGACCCCGTGCTGATCACATGCACCCTCCAAAGAAAAAAAAAACTCCCTAGCAAGACATACCAAACTGAGTATCTGCAGCTTTCCCCTAAGGCTCTGTTCTATCAGATGGATTGGGAACAGTAGAAGAAGGGGAGGATCAGAAAAGAAAAGGGTCAAACATCCTTTTTACACAATGCAGAGGATTAAGCCCTTAGGTTCCACAGTGAGTATAACAAGCATGCTTTACTGCATATACATATTATACTCACCGTGGAACCTAAGGAGTTAATCCTCCACATTGTGTAAAAAGGCTGTATGATCCTGTCTTCTCTGATCCACCCTTTCTTCTACTGTCCCCAATCCATCTGCTGTAGCACAAAGCTCTAGAAGTTACTCTGCACATTCTCAGTTTAGTGTGTATTCCTAGAGAGTTTTTTTTTTCTTTTGGAGGGTGCATGTGATCAGCACAGGGCCAACCAGCACTGTCCAGACAGAGGGTCAAGGTTTATGAAGCCTCATAGGACAGTTCAGAGCAGAATGAAAACTCCTCCTACAAGCTTTAACCAGTACTCTGTTGGTTTTCACCAGGATTCAAATTTTTTTAATGGATTTGAAGTATTTGAATGGAACATATATTGAACCGATCTGAATTCATTGTGAAGAATGGCAGGTTCTTTTCTATTCAAATTTCAGACGACTGCTATATTCTTTCTATTTTATTCTATTTTTTTCTGTTCTATTGTATTCTTTTCTACTCTATTCTTTTATTTTCTCTTCTTTTCTTACCTATTCTATTCTTTTCCATCCTACTCTATTTTTTCTATTCTATTCTTTTTTATTCTATTCCTTTATATTTTATTCTACTCTTTTCTTTTCTATTCTATTCTTTTCTATTCATATCACATGTCTAGCGAAAAGCCATGCAGCGGTTTCCAGTGAGTGACGGTGCCATTAAGAGTAATGGCACCCCCACGCATTTCCTGAGCGGCAAAGCATTTTTCTGTGTGGGTGGTTGCGGCTGTGGGAAAAAGATCGATCTCCCAGTGGCAGTCACCTGCACAGGTGTGAACCTATCTGTACAGAATATGGAGCTAAAACGATACCTTGTCACGCTGAGTATGTTGCACTTGTCCTAAGGCCTTGTACACACAGGCACATTTCAGATCCCTTTACAGCAAAACTCTCTCAATCAGCATTAAACTGAGGAATAATAGTCCTCATGCGCTGCCACCCAATAACTAATAATATAAAATCCTGCGAGCTGCTGCAAACACCCAAATGGTCTCACACATAAAACAATCAAATAATAAATACCGTATTTTCTGGCGTATAAGACGACCCCCTACTTTTCCTGTTAAAATGTAGTGTTTGGGCTATACTCACCATATAAGACTACCCCTCTGCCAGTGCACACCAGTGGGAAGAATCGTGCCCCATCATTGGTGTCAGTGGGAGGAATAGTGTCCCATCATTGGTATTAGTGGGAGGAATAGTGTCCCATCATTGGTGTCAGAGCGACGAATCGTGCCCCATCATTGGTGTCAGTGGGAGGAATAGCACCCCATCATTGGTGTCAGTGGGAGGAATAGCGCCCCATCATTGGTGTCAGCGGGAGGAATAGTGCCCCATCATTGGTGTCAGAGCGACGAATCGTACTCCATCATTGGTGTCAGTGGGAGGAATAGTGTCCCATCATTGGTGTCAGTGGGAGGAATAGTGTCCCAACATTACTGTCAGTGGGGGGTGGAATAGTGCCCCATCATTGGTGTCAGTGGGGGGTGGAATAGTGCCCCATCATTGGTGTCAGTGGGGGGGAGGAATAGTGCCCCATCGTTGGTGTCAGTGGGGGGGGAGGAATAGTGCCCCATCGTTGGTGTCAATGGGGGGGAGGAAAAGTGCCCCATCGTTTGTGTCAGTGGGAGGAATAATGCCCCATCATTGGTATCAGTGACACCAATGATGGGGCACTATTCCTCCTACTAACACCAATTACACTTGCTGACCCCTGTTCTAGTATGGTGCTGCTGCAGCCAGCATATGTGGTTGCAGCAGCACCTCTGCACGGCACACTTACCGGCCGCTCCTTCACTCGATTTTCGCGGGGCCGCTCGGCTCCGCCTCGTCGCTGGTGATTGGCCGCCTGTGTGCCTTTCCTGAGCTACAGTTCTGGCGGCCAATCACCGGTGAGGAGGCGGAGCCGAGCAGCCGCGCGCGAACATCCAGTGGCCGAACCGAATGAAGGAGCAGCCGCGATTCCTGGACCGGATCGTCATGGGACCGGAGCCAGGTAAGAGACAGCAGCCCCTGCCCACTCCTGTACTTAGTGTCAATTCCGTTGGAAAGGGGGGGGTGGCGGCAGCGGCGGCAGCAGCACCGCGCGCCCCCCTAAAAAGTGTCAGCATGCCGTATACCGGCGTATAAGACGACCCCCGACTTTTGAGAAGATTTTCAAGGGGTAAAAAGTCGTCTTATACGTCGGAGAATACGGTAAATTAGTCCTGCGCTACTCATAATACTTGATTCCAGTGACTAGCGCAGCACTAATTTATTTATTAATATCAATCAGCATTAGCTATTTTTAATTCCTATACTGCTAGCATTAGTAAATAAATAGGAAGGTACACTGTATTCACTTTTTTAAAACAATTTTTAAATTTCTTCAATGGCTTCCTGATTTCTGGCCTAGGTTAAAATGCTGTCATACATCCCAGAGGCATTTTTCTTCATTCATCTGGAGAAGGGGAGGAGGGGTTTCCAAGCTAAGCACACCCTCCTGCCATCATGCCTGAGCTAACGGCAGATAGATTCCAGGAAGCAAGCTTTAGACTCCATGCACACTGGGTGTTTTGATAATGCTGGTAGCGTTAGCTGTGTAAAGTTATGTTAAAAATGTGTTTTTTTACCTTTTTTTTTTTTATCGTTTTTGCATTTTACCACGATCTGCAGTGTTTTACCGCATTTTTCCTCCTCTAGAAACCCACTATTCCCAGGTTTTTTTTCCAGTCAAAAAACGTCCCTGCCAAAAAACGTTGATTATAGTCTATGTGTGCATGGACACATAGGATAACATGCTGGGGAGTATATTGGCTGTAGAAAAAAAAGTCAAAAGCCAAAAACAGCTGCTGTAAAAATGTTCCATGTGCATGAGGACTAATGCAGGCCATAGATGAGGAGAAAAACGGCAGATTTTCGGCCGATTAACGAACTATCGGGTCGGTCTAAAAAACTTACCTGACCACCAATTATTACGAAAATCGGCCGATTAATGAGTAACCTATAACGGGAAATGATGTCATTTTGTGGCCTTTGTGATCCTTTTTCGGAAAACGATCGTTCGTTTTTGACCATCAATGAGGATAAAGTCGGGCGTTTTTCGAAAATTTTCCAACATCACCGATAATCTGAAAGTCCAAAATACACGAAAAACGGCCGACAAAATCGTCCACTAACGATAAGATAATCGGCCGGTTTTATTTTTGGACGAAAAATCGGCCGTTTTTCTCCCCATCTATGGCCTGCATTACACTGCGGGGTAGATTTACAAAAACATTTGCATTAGCATTTAGTGGCGGTTTGCTGCGATTAGCAGAGTTTTACCGCATTTTTCTGGGTTTGCATTTTTTTGACCAAAAAAAAAATTATTTTTTTGGTCAAAAAAGTCCAAAAACGCCAGTTTGCTCTGTTTTACAGCATTAGATTACAGATAAAAAACCTCTAGAAACCCACTAGTTCTGAGGGGGTTTTCCAGCCAAAAAACATTGATTCCAGTCTATGTGTACATGGACATATAGGATAACATGCTGGGGGGTTTACTGGCTGTAGAAAAAATGTCAAAAGCCAAAAAACAGCCGCTGTAAAAACGTCCAGTGTGCATGAGGACTTAGAGAGATACAACAAAACATACAGAGTACAGTTTTTCTCATCAATGTCGGCCTATAGCAAGCATTGTGCCCAAATCTTGACGTTTTAAGGGATATATTATGTTCCAACTGTGTACTTACATTTGCCCTCATTATTCTTACACAGAAGTGTGGTATCACTTGTATGTTGTATTACATCCAAGATTTCTCCGGCCTTCAGAGGTAAGTCTTTGGATCCCCATTTCTTTGCTGACAGATTTAACACTACCTGGACTATGGAGAGCACTCGGATATCTCCTGTGAACTGCACAACAAAGACCTCTTTGGATTACATTGTTGACCACAAATATAACAACAATGGTACAAGCTGGATAATTAACAGTGTTTATAAGAGAATAAGACTTTTTCTGTTAAGTATTCAGACCCCCTTCACTTTCTTTCAATTTTGTTAATTGGCAGCCCGATAATACAGTTCTTTAAATTAATTTTTTTTCTCATTATTATTATTATACAGGATTATATAGCACCAACAGTTTGCGCAGCACTTTACAAAATGAAGGTAGACATTACAGTTACAATACAATTTGGTACAAGAGGAAACAGAGGGCCTGCTCGTTAGAGCTTACAATCTAGGAAGAAGGGTTGAGTGATACAAAAGGTAATAGCTGTGGGGGGATGAACTGAAATAAAAGGCAGTTTACTACTTAGAAGCAAGATAAACTCCTTCAAAGAGAAAGATTTTCAGGGATCGTCTAAAGGTGGATTAGGAGAGAGCCCGGCCAGATTGGGGTAGGGAGTTCCATAGGATGGGAGAAGCTCGGGAGAGGTGCTGGAAGCGAGCATGGGAGGAGGTGACACAGGAACTAGAGAGGAGGAGGTCTTGGGAGGATCAGTTTGGTTGATATTTTGAGACCAGATTGGTGATGTAGCTTGGGGCAGAGTTGTGGATGGCTTTGTAAGTAGTTGTTAGTATTTTGAATTTTATTTGTTTGGCGAGTTTTCATTATTCTACACTTGAGTCAGGACCCCATAATGAAACAGTGAAAACAGAAAATATTTGCACATTTAGTAAAAAGGCAAAAACTGAAATATTACATTGGCATAAGTATTCAGACACTTTGCAACAACACGTGAACTTTAGCTCAAGTGCCTCCCAATTCTCTTTAGTGTTGCTGAGATGTTTCCACACCTTGACTGGAGTCCACCTGTGTTAAATTAAATTGATTGGACAAGATTTGGAAAGGCACACACCTCTCTATAATCCGACAATGAGCAAAAGCCATGAGGTCAAATGAATTGTCTGCAGAGGTCAGAGATAGGATTATTGCAAGGCACAAATCTGGGGACAGTTAAAAAAAATTCTGTTGCACTGAAGGTTCCCAAGAGCACAGTGACCTCTATAATTCTTAAATGGAAGAAGGATGACACAATCAGGACTCTTCCAAAAGCTGGTCGCCCTTCCAAACTGAGCAATCAGAGACAGGCCTTAGTAAAAGTAGTAACCAAGAACCCAATGGCCCCTCTGACTGAGCTCCAGAGATCCTGTGTGGAGATAGGACAAAGTTCCTGAAAGATAACCATCACTGCAGCCCTCCACCAAACTGGGCTTTATGGCAGAGTGAGTAGACAGAAGCCTCTTCTCAGTGAAAGCCTGCTTGGAATTTGGAAAAAAGTGAAGGGGATCTGAACTGAAAAAAGAGAAGAGGCTCTGAACTGAAAAAAGAGAAGAGGCTCTGAACTGAAAAAAGTGAAGTGGGTCTGAACTGAAAAAAGTGAAAGGGGTCTGAACTGAAAAAAGTGAAGTGGGTCTGAACTGAAAAAAGCGAAGGGGGTCTGAACTGAAAAAAGCGAAGGGGGTCTGAACTGAAAAAAGCGAAGGGGGTCTGAACTGAAAAAAGCGAAGGGGGTCTGAACTGAAAAAAGCGAAGGGGGTCTGAACTGAAAAAAGCGAAGGGGTCTGAACTGAAAAAAGCGAAGGGGGTCTGAACTGAAAAAAGCGAAGGGGTTCTGAACTGAAAAAAGCGAAGTGGGTCTGAACTGAAAAAAGTGAAGGGGCTCTGAACTGAAAAAAGTGAAGGGGCTCTGAACTGAAAAAAAGTGAAGGGGCTCTGAACTGAAAAAAGTGAAGGGGCTCTGAACTGAAAAAAGTGAAGGGGGTCTGAACTGAAAAAAGTGAAGAGGTGTCTGAGTTGAAAAAAGCGAAGGGGATCTGAATACTTTATGAATGCACTGCACATCATTACTTTGCATGTCTATCAGTTCATATCACATTGAAATTTTATTGTTCCATAAATAAAATCTTTCTTCGAATGATCTAATTTGTGTGTGTTTTATTTTACCTTTTTTACATAATCATCTCTATTTTATATTTAAATCCAATTTTATCATTATTAGAGTACCATCTCCAGAACCCATTATATTTTTTCCTCTTTCTCTCCAGCAGTTTATTTTTTGATTTGACAAAACTTGCTCTAAATCTCTTTTTTCATAGTTGATCCTTCTATCACGAGAGTTCTATCAATTTTTAATTCTCAAGTTTCAATCGGAAGGATAGAAATACAAAAAAAAAAAACAGAGATAGAAAATTTGGAGTAAGTTTTGAAAAATAAAGTAACCTGGAGAATAATAGGAAAAAGTACAGTGTGTTCTAGAAAGATGGTAAATGATAGAAGATAAAAGTCACATAAAATGTGCATTTCATCTGTTTGTAGAGTTTGCAGTCCTTTAATAGATGGTTTTAAACACATTACACTATGTGCTGCTTTGTGCTCTATTTCTATGGGATATCATCTATTCACATATAAGAATGGAGTGCAGCTTTACCTCCGAGGATGATGGTTAACCCTTACGTGGGTAGTTAGGGCTTTTGACATTACTAATATAATTGAGTTAATGCACATGGGACAACGCACATGGCTGCAATGCATTTGGTGGAAACAATGGACTTAAAACAGACAATGAGGAGGCAGCACATAAAAAAAGCCTGAGCAAATGAATGCTGAAACTCCTGCGCTGATGAGCTCCACAATGTCAGTAACCCAACAATGGAGTACATTTTGGGAATGCAAGTCTTGCTGCCCTCAACGAACCAGGGAAATCCAAAGAAGCTGTGTGCAAAGAAACAAACAGAGGGCCTAGTGCATTACCTTCTAAAAATGAGATTTATTGAATTAAAAGTAGTATACTCACAAAAGAATAAAATCAAAGGCACATCACAAAAAAGACAGCATGGTCCTATCTCCCTAGATGGTGGCTGTTGGGGGACTGTAGGTTTCCAAATACTGGCGCGTATCGAGGCAGAACCTCTTCTTTAGAGCCCTGAGGGCTGTCTTTGATTTTATTCTTTTGTGAGTATACTACCTTTTATTCAATAAATCTCATTTTTAGAAGGTAATGCACTAGGCCGTGCACCCTCTGTTTGTTTCTTTGCACACAGGAGGCATCGCATCACTTCCTCACCCACTATCAGTAGCCTTGAAGTGCGATCTGAATGCGGATCATGCTTCCTTAGGGGACACCTTGTTAGGATCTGACCTAAGTTTAGTGAGTGGCTGAGACAAGCAGATGTTTTGTTTTGGCATTGAGCTGAGCATGGACTTTCTGTACAAATCCCTCCAGCATTAAGGCTCCGTTCACACCAATGCATTTTTTAGTGCTTTTTGCAGAAACGCACTACAGTCCATTTAACATGGTTTCCTATAGAACATGTTCACATCTATGCTTTTTTGAGCTGCTGCGTTTTTGGAAAGGGTCAGGAACTTTTTTAAAAGCAAAAATCAGCGTTTTTGCTACAATAGAGTTCAATGGTAGTATGGCATGGTAGTGTGTTTTTGCCATGTTTTGCGCTTTCTGCCCAGCAAAAAAAAAAAAAAAAATCCACAAAAGAAAAAAAGCTGAATAAAACACAAAACACGGTAAAAACGCAGTAAGAAGGTGTCAAAAACACATCAAAAACGTACAAAAAAAACGTGCAGAAAAACGCAAAACAAACTGCGAAAAGCACTGCAAAATGGACAAAAAGCAAACTACATAAATGTGAACGGAGCCTAACACTGCAGGGTAGATTTACAAAAATTGGTGCACTCAGAATCTGCAGCTGTGCATGGTAGCCAATCAGCTTCTAACTTCAGTTTGTTCAGTCAGTCCTCATGCACACGGGACGTTTTTACAGCGGCTGTTTTTGGCTTTTGCCGTTTTTTTTACAGCCAGTTAACCCCCCCATCATGTTATCCTATGTGTCCATGTACACATAGACCGTAAACAGCATTTTTTGGCTGGCAAAAAACCCCAGGACTAGTGGGTTTCTAGAGTAGTTTTTAGCTGTAAAAATGCTCTAACGCTGAAAAACGCAGTAAAATGCCGCAAACCGGCATTTTAGGACTTTTTTTACCAAAATAAATAAAAAAATGTTTTGGTCCAAAGAAAAAAAAAATGCAGGAAAACACTGCTAAACATTGCAAAACGCCGCTGAGCGCTAATGCAAAAACACTAAAAAAATGGAAAAACTCACATTTTTAACGTGACTGTACACAGCTAACGTTACCAGCATTATCAAAACGTCCCGTGTGCATGAGGACTTAAGCTTTGACAAAAAAACTGGATGCTGATTGGTTTCTATGCAGAGCTGCACCAGATTTTGCACTTTCAAATTTTAGTGAATAACCCTCTGCTTTTATCTGGTTTGCTGCTTTGCTGAAAAAAGTGCAGGACAAGCCTGCTTGAACTGTTCCTGGGTGTCTCTGTCTTGTACTCATTAACTTAAATGATATATGATAAACTGCATCTCTATTAAAAGCAGTATTAAACCAAAAGTAAACATTTATTATAATGCAGTTTACTAATCTTATATGTGATGGCTGCATTAGGTTTCTTTTTTTAGGATTTCTTTCCTTTATTTTCACCTGGTGACCTGACCAGTAAGTCTGTTGTTTTTCAACAGAACAAGTTGTCCTGCAGATGTAGCAAGACAGGGGGGAGACAAACTATTTACCACTGACAGAGATGCTTACAATAATCTGCTTTTATTCATTTACTGTATGTAAAACCTTTATCCCATATGAAAAAAAAACTGCTGTAACTGATTAAAAAGTGTGAGCTGGAGTTTGGCTTCAATATGTGAGTGTATCTAAATCTGCTAGTCCATCTAACAGTCTCCTTCCCCCAGACTGACAATGATGCTGTTCAAACGTGCCCCCCTGTGCTCCTTCATCCATGGAGGCACACAGGAGATGTGTGACTGGCCAGATCACCAAGTAAAAACAGAAGGGAAAAGCCTAAAAATATAATGCAGCCACCCCATCTAATGATTGGTAAGCTGCAATACATTACTTTTTTTTGGTTTTGGGTTTAATATTGCTTTAAACACTTAATCATAGTGTAACAACTGTTGAAACTCCTCTACATAAAAATGCTTATATGTTAAATGGGAAAACTAAACATATATAAAATGCAAAAATAAAATCTGAAAAAGGAAAAAGCCTTAATAAAAATGCAAACAATACTAATACGGATCTTCCACAGTGTAAAATAAAGGTCTCCACCAAAGCACGAGTGAGACTCCAAAGCATGAGTGAGACTTCAACAATACTTCGGTGACTCACCACCACAAGCGAATGCTTACCAGAAGGTTGGACCTCCGAGCCTAGACGTCAGTCTAAGCATGAGTATGGTTCATTCCCCATACAGGATTAACAAATGGATAGCAGTCACCTCATCTGCTTCTGATGTCTCATTTGACCATCATTGGAAAGAAAAAAGATCCAATAGTGTGGATCAACCAAGATTTTATATTGTAAAAACCACATACAAACTGCATATAGGAAAAAATGCTCAAATATGCAAAAAAAAAAAACCACGCAGCTGCCGCTACCTGTGTGACCAGCAGTACATGTGGTAATGTTGAACATCAGCATCAAGAAACATATCTCTACGAGTTTCACCCAAGGAGGATGTCCAATATCAGTTGGTCCATATATATAACCATACCAGATATATGCAGTATATTTCAAATTAAAAAAAAAAAAAAGATATCCCAAACTCCAAATAACATCTCAAGAAGTTAAAAGGATACCTTTAATAAACCCCTATAATTTAGTATAATAGTCTTCACAAGATCTCCTGCTCTCTAGCTCCCTTGTCTCCTCCTCCCATGCTCATCTCCAGGACTTCTCCAGAGCCTCCCCCATCCTCTGGAACTCTCTACCCCAATTTATCAGACTATCGCCTACTCTGCTCACTTTTAGGCGATCTCTGAAAACCTATCTCTACAGGGAAGCCTATCCTGCCCTCAGCTAATAATGGAATCTTCTACTCTTCCAACCACTCCATCCCCCACAGTTATTACCTTTTGTACCACTAGCCCCTCCCTCCTAGATTGTAAGCTCCAAGGAGCAGGGCCCTCCTAACCCTCTTGTATTGAACTGTATTGTTGCTGTATTGTCTGCACTAAGCAAACTGTTGGCGCTATATAAATCCTGTATAATAATAATAATAATTAATTGATTCACGGCCAGGGGTGGACTGACAACTCATGGGGCCCCCGGGCAATAGGGGATCATGGGGCCCCTGTGTCCTTGTCCAAACTCAAAAAAGCCTATGAAAAAGGTACCAGGGGCATCTCATGGGGCCCCCTACTTACCCCAAGCCCTCGGGCAGTGATTGAGTTTCCAAATGGTCAGTCCGCCCCTGTTCAGGGCCTATCCACACCATACATTGGGCTGCACTGAGTGGCCTTGCCCAACCCAGTACCAGCACACAGATAGGGAAATCTGCCTTCTTTTCTGTTAATTCAGTTCACTGAAAAAAGTAGGAAATGCTGCACTTTTATGCATTGCAGCATGTTACAATGCACTACATAACATTGCAATACACTGCAGTGCATAAAGAAAAGACTGAAATGTCAGATTTCACCAAAATGTTACCTTAAATTTCTTCCTGAAATCCTTCTCTTCTTTTTCCAGCTTCTTGAGAGTCTTGTAATCCGGAGACTTTCCCAGAGTGTCAGTTCTTTTGCTCATAAATAAACTAAAACAGAATAAACTTGACTGTAATTTTCTGCTTTAGAAAATGATCCGTTAAATAGTATGAATGTTTGGCCCTTGACACATTTGTTTCACTTTGGTTTGTAAAGACTAGGTTAAGCCTTGAAGATCAGATTCAGCAGGATTTGCAAAGCATTTTAAAGATGTTCCAGTATCTAAAGAGACCATCTACAATATGTCGCTAAAAAAATCATACTTGCAGTTCATGAAAGAGTTACCTCTCCGGAGTCTACTACCTTCCATGTGTTCCAGTGCTGCAGCTCCTGTAGGACTTTTTGGGATTCCACACTTACAGTTGCAAGAAAAAGTATGTGAACCCCTTGGGATTACGTGGAGTTTTGCATGAATTGGGCATAAAATGTGCTCTGAACGTCATCTAAGTCACAACAATAGAACAACACAGTCTGCTGAACATAATACTACACAAACATTAGATGTTGCCATGGTTTAATTGCACATAACATGTAAACATTCACAGAGCAGGGAGGAAAAAGTATGTGAACCTTTGGACTTAATAACTGGTTGACCCTCCTTTGGCAGCAATAACCTCAACCAAACGTTTCCTGTAGTTGCAGATCAGACCTGCACAATGATCTGGAGTAATTTTGGACCACTCCTCTTCACAAAACTGTTTCAGTGTAGCAATATTCTTGGGATGTCTGGTGTGAATCTCTCTTTTAAGGTCATGCCACAGCATTTCAATCGGGTTGAGGTCAGGACTCTGACTGGGCCACTCCAGAAGGCGTATTCTGTGCTGTTGCAGCCATTGTTTTGTTGAATTACTTGTATGCTTTGGGTCATTGTCCTGTTGCATCACCCATCCTCTGCGGAGCTTCAGTTGGCGGACAGATGGTCGTACGTTTTCCTGCAAAATGTCTTGATAAACTCTGGAATTCATTTTCCCATCAATGACAACAATCCGTCCAGGCCCTGAGGCAGCAAAGCAGCTTCAAACCATGATGCTCCCTCCGCCATGGTGGGGATGAGGTTTTGATGTTGGTGTGCTGTGCCTTTTTTTCTCCACACATAGTGTTGTGTGTTCTTCCCAAACAACTCAATCTTGGTTTCATCTGTCCACAGTATATTTTGCCAGTAGTGCTGTGGAACATCCAGGTGCTCTTTTGCAAACTTCAAACGTGCGGCAATATTCTTTTTGGACAGCAATGGCTTCCTCCGTGGTGTCCTCCCATGTACTCCATTCTTGTTTAATGTTTTCCTTATTGTAGATGTGTCAACAAAAATGTTAGCATGTGCCAGAGATTTCTGTAGGTCTTTAGCTGACACTCTGGGATTCTTCTTTACCTCATGCAGCATTCTGCGCTGTGCTCTTGCAGTCATTTTTACAGGACGACCACGCCTAGGGAGAGTAGCAACAGTGCTAAACTTTCTCCATTTGTAGACAGTCTGTCTTACCGTGGACACATGAACATCAAGGCTTTTGGAGATACTTTTGTAACCCTTTCCAGCTTCATGCAAGTCAACAATTCTTGATCGTAGGTCTTCTGAGAGCTCTTTTCTGCAAGGCATGGTTCACATCAGACAGTGCTTCTTGAAACCAGTAAACTCAAAACAGGTGTGTCTTTTTTAAGGGCAGGACAGCTGTCAGCAACACATCCAATATCATCACACTGGTTGGAGTCAAGGTTGGCTCACTCCTGGCTCCAATTAACTTTGGGAGAAGTCATTAAGCTAGGGCCTCACATACTTTTTCCTCCCTGCACTGTGAATGTTTACATGTTATGTGCAATTAAACCATGGCAATATCTAATGTTTGTGTAGTATTATGTTCAGCAGACTGTGTTCTTCTATTGTTGTGACTTAGATGACGTTCAGAGCACATTTTATGCCCAATTCATGCAAAACTCCACATAATCCCAAGGGGTTCACATACTTTTTCTTGCAACTGTATCTCCCACCACATGCTGTGGTTTCTTCTACAGGACTCAGTGGTAATATAGGGTGTCAGAAGATGGAGGACACAGCATACGTCGGCGAACAGAAGTTTGAAAACAATGGCAGAGACTGCAGCACTGCAGGGGCAGTAGTTGACATGCACTGCCAGAATGGTAAGTAAAATAGCTCTTCTTTTACAGGGAGCTTGGATATAATTTTTTTAGAGACTGACAGGGCCTCTTTAAAGCTAATCTTTCTTAAGGAAAATATGGAGAAAAATATGCTATTTCTCCTGAAAATACTAGTTTCCTGGTTGTTATGCTGACCATCTGGCTTTGCTCCTTCCTGAATCACTGGCCTGGAACAAGTGTGTATATCAGAAGTCCTAGCATGTATTCTTGTTTTAGGTTAGAGACTCAAGCAGGTTGGTGACTATTCAAGCAAAAGGGTCAGCTTGACAGGCAGGCAATTAGCATCTTTAGATGAAGAGGTCAGCAAAGGCAGATTCCATGTTTCTCTTCATCTTCAGTCTGGGAGTATTGAATACAGATCTTAAAGAGGAACTCCAGGTTCCCACCCAAATAATTAAAAGTCAGCAGTTACAAATACTGTAGCTTATATTGACTTTTAATATAAGGGCACTTACCTTTCCAGGGGTCCAGCGCTGTCCTCACCCGGGCCTCAGGGTTCAGCGCTGGCATAGCAAGTAAGGGAATCCAGAACTGAAGCCTTGCGGCTTCACAGCCAGTTTACTACTGCATATTTGCAAGTCTCGCTGCACCTTGTCAATGGTCCGGTAGTCTTCTGGGACAGAACACAGGTGAAGTGTCCCAGAAGACTGCTGGGGGAAGGAACGAGGCTAAAATTCTGGCTCAGTACCCACTCCCCCCCAAAATGTGCCAAATGTGGATGTGGCAGTGGAGTGGAGTAAGGTGCAAACAAGCAGAGCTTCCCCTTTTGGGAGGAGCTCTGCTTTAAAGGAAGCTTTTTGTAAGAAAAAGTTGGATGCTGCCACTTGGGGATATTACTAGGATTGGGACAGATTTGTGGCAAACAGACGACGTGACAAAGCCGCACCTTACAGTGGGAGAAGCAATAGGGGAACAGTTAAACTGCATGGGAATCTACTTCTTTAAAGTGCATATATAAATATATTGTATATATATATATATATATACACTGTATATTGGCAGTGTGGTACCCTGCCAGGGTCTAAATAGAGGTTATAACCCAGGATTCTCCCCCAGGCAGGTGGAGGGGCTCCAAAGGGTGAGCTTAATACAGAGGAAACTGACTTTTCAGTTTCCTAATTTTTTCGTAAAATCTGTTTTGGGACCTGGAGCCTGGAGATTTCAAAGTGGTCTGGGAGGGATAGAATCTCCAATCCTGGGTCCAGGTTTTCAGAACCCCCAGCACACTACCTGGTCAGGTGTGTGCTGGGCTTTTAGTAGTGACCTGGCCATGGTTGTGGGCTCCACCCCGGCAGTAAGGAGGTTATTGCCCAGGAGTCAGGAGGGCTCCACTTAGGAGAGAGGTGGCAGCCAGAGCAGCAAGGAGTTGCTAGCTGTATGGATAGAGTTGGTGAGCAAATGGCTTGAAAAAGACAGACGCGGGCCTTAAGAGTGAGGCCAGAGCAGCAGTGCTGCAAGTGAAAGCTAGAAGGCATAACTTTGTTCTTGTACTGTATGTAAGATAGATGTTGAAAACTGATGAGTTATGCTTTTGAACTTAAAAAAAAAATGGACAAGAAAAGCCCTTAAAAAGAAGAAAAAGCAAGTGGCAGTATCCTCTAAAGCTCTACCATTGATGCTAGTTCTCACTATATATATACATACATACAGTATTTATATTTAGTGTATTTAGTTGTTCCAATCACCTCCATGGCCACAGGTGTATAAAATCAAGCACCTAGGCATGCAGACTGCTTCTACAAACATTTGTGAAAGAATGGGTCGCTCTCAGGAGCTCAGTGAATCCAAGTGTGGTACCGTGATAGGTTGCCACCTGTGCAATAAGTCCATCCGTGACATTTCCTGGCTACTAAATATTCCACGGTCAACTGTTAGTGGTATTATAACAAAGTGGCAGCAACTGGGAACAACAGCAACTCAGCCACAATGTGGTAGGGCACATAAAATGACAGAGCAGGGTCAGCGCATGCTGAAGGGCACAGTGCGCAGAAATCGCCAACTGTCTGCAGAGTCAATAGCTAAAGACCTCCAAACTTGGTGTGGCCTTCAGATTAGCTCAACAACAGTGCGTAGAAAGCTTCACGGAATTAGTTTCCATGGCTGAGCAGCTGCATCCAAGCCTTACATCACCAAGTGTAATGCAAAGCGTCAGATGCAGTGGTGTAAAGCACGCTGCCACTGGACTCTAGAGCAGTGGAGACGTGTTCTCTGGAGTGACGAATCACGCTTCTCTGTCTGGCATTCCAATAGACATGTCTGGAAGCCAATCCTCTTACTCCCGGCCACCCATACAGAAGAGTGTCTGTGTCCATTCGGCATAAACTGAACAGTCATGGACCTGTCATCCACCCGCGCTGGTTTGCCCAGCAGGTAATCAGGGGCTAGATCCTCTATGGAGCAAAGTAGATTCTGCCCCATGTGAAAGGGGCCCAAGGCTATGACAATAATCTCCATACTGGCACTCTTTATAATAATACGATTGTTTCTCTAAACAGCATTCTTTTGCAGCTGTTAAATAATTAAACTGAAACCATGGAAATGTTACAGCTTTTCACACTTACCTAGATTCTAAAGGAGGAGGTGGGAAATCAGTTTCCACATCATCGTAAACATCACTATCTGCATAAAGGAAAAATAAAGGGAAAAATACATTGAAATAAATTGGACTAATGAGCTTTGTTTTATTCATGGCCATGATTCATTTTTTCTAAGTATAAATTTTGATATATACCAAATCGGCAACTAACGTGGATCTGGTTCATTAAAGCCTAACCCCTGCTAAAACTTTGTGTTTGTTTTTGGATGAAGCAGGAAAATATTAGATTACCCTTTTTATTGCTGTAAATAAGAAGCATGCTGAGGGAAATCCATTAGCTAGTACTAAGGCTGCCACAAGAATGGAGATAAGAGTACAGACTATTTATTTATTTCAGGTACTTATATAAAGCTGTCAATTTTATGCTGTGCTTTAGATATATATATTGTACATTCACAACAGTCCCTAACCCTCAAGGGGCATACAATCTGAGGTCCCTAACTCACATTCATACATACACATACTAGGGCCAATTTAGACAGGAGCCAATTAACCTACCAGCATGTCTTTGGAGTGAGGAAACCGGAGTACCCAGAGTAAACCCACACAGGCACAGGGAGAACATGCAAACTCCAGGCAGGTGGTGCCATGGTTGGGATTCAAACTGATGACCCTAGTGCTGCTAGGAGGAAGTGCTAACCAGTTAGCCACCTATTATTAGAAGAGCAGCAAGATGAGAAGGCTTCCTGAAGGACACACAAGTCTTGATGAAGGGAAAACATTTTGTGAACCCCCCACAACACATTGGAGTTGATTAACTAAAACTGAAGCATGCAAAATCTGGTGCAGCTCTGCATAGAAACCAATCAGTTTCCAGTTTCCAGTTTTTTTTTTTTGTCAAAGCTTAAAAGAACAAGCTGAAGTTAGAAGCCGATTGGATACCATGTACAGCTGCACCAGAAATTGCACTCTCCAGTTTTATTAAATCAACCCCATTGGCTTTCTTATCTTGTTGATTTTCTAATAATAAATTATTCCAGACTCTATCTCCATTAAAGTGGTGCCCTTACAGCTATCTACAGATTTGTATTGCTGCCTGTGTTCCTATTAGGGAGACTTTGTCATAATTCCTGTCAGGACAGACAGAAATGGAAATCTCTTGAATGGGATAGAAAATCATAAACTTCATACAGTGCACACACCTAGATCATGGGTGGGTGCTCAAGTGACATCAAAAGAGAAGGTCCATCATGAACATTAACCGTATGAAACATACAAGCACAGTCTATGTAGTTCAAGAAGAGAATGTTTTATTTTTGCAGGAAGAAATATGACATTTAAGTGAGGAAGTGTTAGAACTTATGACAATATTTTTGATGCTGTATGTGCCTTCACACTTCTGTGACAATCATGCCCCCTAGTTCTTGTAGGAGCATTACAAAGACAGGAAGTGAGGGTTACAAACAGAAATAAAATCAAAGGTCGACAAACTGCGGCCCAGGGGCCGGATGCGACCCCTTGCTTGCTTTTATCAGACTTTTAGGGAATTATTCTCCCCACTGTCAGCAACAGTTCCTGCCACATACTCTGAGAATGGGGTACTAGTCCTCTCAATGACACCAATGATGGGGCACGAGTCCTCCCATTGATACTCATGATGGGGCACTATTTCTCACATTGATATCAACAATGGGGCACTATTTCTCTTGATTGATACTTGATTGATCTCATTGATACTAACGATAAGGCATTATTCCAAACATTAAGACCAACAATGGGGCACTATTCCAAACATTGAGGCCAACAATGGAGCACTATTCCTCCCATTGATACCAACAATGTGGCACTATTCCTCACATTGAGACCAATGATGGGGCACTATTCCTCCCATTGATGCCAACAATGGGGCACTATTCCTCCCATTTATAGCAACGATGGAACACTATTCCTCACATTGAGACCAATGATGGGGAACTATTCCTCACATTGAGAACAATGATGGGGCACTATTCCTCCCACTGATACCCACGACGGGGCACTATTTTTCGTATTGATACCAATGATCAGGCACTAGTCCTCCCCTTGATGCTAACAATGGGGCACTATTCCTCACATTGAGACCAATGATGGGGCACTATTCCTCCCACTGATACCAACGATGGGGCACCATTCCTCACATTGAGAACAATGATGGGGCACTATTCCTCACATTGAGACCAACGATGAGGCACTATTCCTCCCACTGATACCCACAATGGGGCACTATTCCTCACATTGAGACAAACAATGGGGCAATATTCCTCCCATTGATACCAATGATGGGGCACTATTCCTCACATTGAGATCAACAATGGGGCACTATTCCTCCCCTAATAATAATAATGGGGCATTGTTTTTCTCCCACTGATGCCAGGACTTGTTCTTTTCCCACTGCTCCTCCCCCTGAAAGTTTGAAGGACAGTAAATTGTTTAGAAAGTTTGGAGACCCCTGTTTTAAATGTTCCACACTAAAAATGTCCACAACTAAAAAAAAAAAAAACAGACAGTTAGGCTATAAAGCTGAGGGTATTCTTTTTTTTCTTGCTGTAACATATTTGCTCTGTGTAGCCTTCATTTAATCATTATTTTTTGTAAAACATTTTTTACAATTCTCCACATTGCTGTATCTCTCTGGCACCTGTCCATTGTGCTGGTTACCATTGGTGATTAGAGTTTATTCAATACCAAGAAATATGCTATAACTACATTTGGATTAAAAAAAACAAGCAGTCATTAAATATATTACTGTTTATGAAGGTGCATGACATAACCATGTAGCCAATAAAGTGTTGGGGGCGATGATATGCAGATGCTTATTTTAGTGGTCAACTAGGCAGCGAAGGAAGAATAAGGACAATGGGTCAACAAAAAATGCACCTTTAAAAACTTGCGAGTAGTAGTGATGGGCCAATTTCAGTTTGCGGTCGAAAATTCCAACATAACAAAAGTTCGACCGCAAACTTCGAACAGAGGGGAAAATTCACTGTGGTATCTTACCACATCTCAGTATGCGGTAAGATACCACACTGCTACTAAAAACATTCTTTATTGTTTCAGTTGTCAGCGGTGTTCCCTGCTGACAGCTGCATGTAGAAAGAATTGCCTGCACCACCCAGCAAATAAAAAAAAAAAAAAACATGTGGGTCCCCCCCATCCATACCAAGCCCTTCAGGTCTGGTATGGATTTTGAGGGGAACCCCCACGCCTCCACCCCCCTATGTGAATGAGTATGGGGTATATGGTATCACTACCCATACACAAAAAAAAGTGTAGTGGAAAAATGACAGGAGACAGTCTCTGACAAGTCCTTTATTAAAAAACAAAAATAAAACAAAAATGTCCCCCGAAGTACAGTTGATATTGAAAATATGACTGATCGTGCCAAAAAATGCTCTTTTACTGAAGGATGATGATCATATGAAGCCATTTATTATCAAATAATTTTTGGCTCCTTTTTAAATCATAATGATAACAGAAATCACCCAAATGGCCATGATCAAAAGTTTACATCCCCTGGAATGTTTGGCCTTGGTACAGACACACAAGGTGACAGACACGGGTTAAAATGCCAATTAGAGGTTAATGTTCCACATCTGTGGCTTTTTAAATAGCAATTAGTGTCAGTGTATAAATAGTCAATGATTTTGTTAGCTCTTACGTGGAAGCACCAACTAGGCTAGATATGGAGCCATGGGGATCAGAAAAGAACTGTCAAAAGTCCTGCATAACAAGGTAATGGAACTTTATAAAGATGGAAAAGTAAATAAAAAGATGTCCAAAGCCTTGAATATGCCAATCAGTACTGTTAAATCACTTATTAAGAAGTGGAAAGTTCGGGGATCTCTTGATACCAAGCCAAGGTCAGGTAGACCAAGAAAGATTGCAGCCATAACTGACAGAAGAATTGTCCGGGATTCAAAGAAAAACCCACAAGCAACCTCAAAAGAAATACAGGCTGCTCTGGATAAAGATGGTGTGGTTGTTTTTAAGGAGTACAATACGGTGATACTTGTACAAAAATGAACTGTTCGAGGTGCCTGAAAGAAGCTTTTACTGCACCAATGCCACAAAAAAGCCCGGTTACAATATGCCTGACAACACCTAGACATGCCTAACCAGGCCTTTTTGTGTCATTGATGCAGTAAAAGTTTCTTTCTAGCACCTCGACCATGCAGCTTATTTTTGTTCAAGTGTCATCATATTGTGCTCCTTCAGAACAACCACACTGTCTTTTTCCAGAGCGGCCTGTATTTTTCTTGTGGTTACCTATGGGTTTCCCTTTGTATCCGAACAATTCTTCTGGCAGTTGTGGCTGCAATCTTTTTTGGTCTACCTGTACTTGGCTTGGTATCAAAAGGTCCCTGAATTTTCTACTTCTTAGTGGAAGTGATGACTGGCATATTCAAGGCTTTGGACATCTTTTTATGTCCTTTTCCAGCTTTATAAAGTTCCATTACCTTGTTACGCAGGACTTTTGACAGTTATTTTCTGATCCTCATGGCTCAGTATCTAGCCTAGTCAGTGCTTCCACGTAAGAGCTAACAAACTCATTGACTATTTATACACTGACACTAATTGTAATTTAAAAAGCCACAGATGCGGACATTAACCTCTAACTGTAATTTTAACCCGTGTGTGTCATCTTGTGTGTCTGTACCAAGGCCAAACATTCCAGGGGAGGGAAACTTTTGATCCAGGCCATTTGGGTGATTTCTGTTATCATTATGATTTAAAAAGGAGCCAAAAAACTATTTGAGTATATTTGCCTTTAGTAAATCAGCCCCGAAAGTGTGACCATGATAATTGTGGCCCATATCTCCTTTGATGAAGCACAGCCAATGATTCAGTAAAACCAGAATGCACAATTTAGTGACAAGCTAAAGAATAGACTTTAACATTGCTTACCAGGAATGGATGAGTGTGACCTGTAAAATATAAAGAAAACAATTTGGATTACTAGTTGTACACATCATTTCAAAATATATTACCTTTAGGCCTCATTCCCACTTGTGCAACTCCTAAGTCATGTGATTTTAATTGCAACTTTGA